GGGGGGGGGAAAACGAAGAGGAGGAGGACGAGGAAGGGGAGGGAACGAAAACAGACAGAACGAGAAGGCGGGGGGGAAAGAGGAAACGAGGAAAAGAAAGGAATACAACTAACTAGAGGGGGAAAAGGGCTGTATACATATATAGAGAGAGAGAGAGAGAGAGAAAAAAAAAGAGAGAGAGAGAGAGAGAGAGAGAGAGAGAGAGGGATGGAGAGACAGACGGACAAACATCAAGAAATGAACTGCACCACTTCGGCCAATGTCGCCGCCCGGCCCCCCGAGCCACGCGCGCATGCGGACCCGACTCGCAATGCGGGAGGCGCCTGGCGCTGTCAACTGGGCCCCCAGCTGGCAAACAAAGACGGTCGGCTGTGATCGGACCCCGCGGGGGCTCGTCTTCGCCAGCGCGCCACCGTGCGCGGGGAGGCGCTGGCTTCTAAACGTGGGCTGGCACGCCCGCCTCGCCCCCCCCCCCCCCCCCCCCCCCGCCCCCCGCAACGGAGCAGGAAAGGCAGACAACGGAACAAGTGTTCACTGTTGTTGCGACCCACGTGGGCGGGGGCTAGCACTGAAGCGCCGCCCTTTGGGAGCGGAGGAGGGTTTGGCAATGGGCCTGCAAAGTGGCCCCTCGGTCGCATCAGGGCGGGAAGCCCGTCGTGTAAGAACCCGACCTTTTTCTGCACAGTGCAACCTGCCGACAAGCAGTGCCTACTGTTCCTGCATATGCTGGAGGGAAGTCGCCAGCTGGTTGGCTCCCTGGCGAAGTGCTTGACTGCTCGCAGTGAAAGTTGTATCGCGGTCCTTGTGTCGCTGGTTACTGGTCGCCTTGAAGTACTGCCTGAGGGCGTTCCTCTGGTCAGCGCAATGCTCAGTACGATGCTCCGCGATCATTCAGTTTCCAGCCCCTTGGCGGGTGGCAGTAGGGCCCTTGGCCCACGTTCCCTGGCGGGGTAAAGCGGGGGCCTTGTGGCAAGAAGCGCTGCGTTGCGGCCCTGGCAAATGGCGCAATCCGCGACCTCTCGCCGGCCGCGCGCAGGTCCTTCCCGACGCCTGGCGTGGCGGCGCCTCTCGTCGGTGTCCATCGGCCGCGCGGGCGCGTCCAGAATGGCGTTTCTGTGATGGGCTAACGCGGTTGCCTTCGCTTTTGAGGGGGGCCCTGGGCCAAGAAGGTCACGTCCGTCAGCGGCAGAGTCGCCCGTGTGCTGGCGGAGCCAGAGGCCGTTGAAGTCGTCGAAGAAATCGGGGGCTGGTGGATCCGGCGCGGGAGGTGGCCCTCCTTGTGCGCCAGTGCTTTGTTTCCCAGGACTAGCGGCAAGCGGGCTTATACTTCCATCTTGGAGAGTTCCGTCCTGGAGCACCCCGGGCGACTGTGCGGAAGGGGGCAAGCGGTGCAATTAATCGCAGATGGCGACGTCCGCAGGATGTAAAGTGCTCGGCGAACCTGCGACGACATCAGCGTCAGCGACATCTTGCGGGATGCTGCATAGCCTGGCCTCCGCCGTGGCGAGTGCGTCAGCGTTTCGGTTGAATGTTTGCGCGATGGGCGCGATGCGGCCATCCTTGAAGCCTGCTTCTCTGAAATGGCCTTCGGCTTTCTGGATGCGCGACATCTCTGGCTTGGCCTAAAACGCCCGGTGGATGCGATGCCAGAAGTCCAATTGGGGACCCACGCACTGAAGCAGTTTGCCCGAGAGGAGGTCGTCGAACCAATCCACTGCAGCTCGGTTGTCCACGAGTCACGGGCCGTTCGGCAGCGGCCGCGAGGTGCAGCGCGGCAAGCGCGTCAACGCATTGCGCGGACAGCGCGACTCCGCGCGCTCGAGCGGAGCGCGTGACCCGGCGGTCTGGCTCGCAGAGCACCCAGAAGCCCGCCCTGGCCAAGAGGGGGCGGGCACGGTTAGAGCGCACGCCGGTGGCGGCGTGGGCCCATCGGGCGCCGCATTTGTCGGCGCATCCACAGCAGTCGTCGTCGTCGCCGTCGTTCCCCCGGGGCCGTCTGGCAGTGGGCCGCGGGGGCCTGTCCTCCGCAAGGGCGGCCTGAAGGTCATGCGCGGCGGGGCGGGAAGCAGCGCCCAGTGCGAGGCGGGAGCCCCTGCCGATGCTGCTCGGCAAAAACGGTGTTGAGGGTTGTCCTTTCGGTGGCCCGGTAGCGGCGACCCCAGACGACGCGCCCCCGGCCCCCCCCCCTCACGATCGCGCCGTCCGCTGGTAAGCGACAGCGGCGCAGGCTCCCAGATCGCGCCGGGTCGCCAATGCGCGCCGGAGAAACATTCCCCGCTGCGAGGCGCGGAACACGCGGGCAACGAGACTGGCTGCCGTTTGCCGACGCGATGGGCGCATGTCCTAATTATCATGCGCGATGCCGAAGTCGGGCCACGCCCAATCGAGCTGGGCGATGGTTTGCCGCGCTCTGCAGACGGGGCCGCCCCCCCTGAGAATTTGCGCGCGGCTGTGAAGCGATCCGGCTTTCGCGTGGAAGCTGGCGTCTCTCCGCAACTGTCTTCGGCGCCCCAATGGCGCGTCTCTTTGAATGGCGGCGACGAGCTCAATCACGCGGCCGGTCGAGCAAAAGCGCAGGGTGCCCAGCGCGGGGCCCGGGAGCGCCCTGTAGGTCTGATGGCCGCAGCGGCCACTTGATTGCAATGGTGGCGCGCCCCGTCGCTCAGGGCATGAATGTCAGCGCCTGCGGCGCCCGCCCTGGCGCCCAGGGAGCGGGCGGATCGAGCCCGTGGCGGGGTGCCTCTTGGGGGGCGCCCGACGCGGGGGAGGCGCTGAATGGCGTTTGTAACCCTGTCATCAGCAGCATCTTCCAAGTTGATTCCTGGCCCCGCGGCTTCGGCGGCCATGTCGGCGAAACTCCCGACCATCTCCGTCCGCTCGGCTGCGAGCTTTGAGTGGGTGCGCGTGCAGGTGGAGATCAGCGACCTGGCCGTTGAGTTCCCCTCCGATGGCCCACCCCGCAACGTGGCCCTGGTGAGATTTCTGAACAAGGGCGGTCAAGTCGAGGGAAATCCGACGCCCCAGGCGGCGGGGGCGGCGGAATCTCTGTCGTCGGAAAAATAAGGGCTGAGCGATCGCGGGGCGCGCGTTTGTCGACGTTCTGCCCAGGCGCGCGCGAGGGGCTCAATGTCGCCGAGGGAATGGGAGCCCCCTTGCAGGCGCCCGCTGGTGCGCGGCAAGAGCGGGAAGTAAGCTCCCCGCGCGCGGTTGAAGCGGCGGCGGTTGCCAAGGAATTGCCGCCTCGCGCGCGCGATGTCTCGGGGGCGCCCGGCGCGCAATACCGGGTTGAAATGCGCGCCCGTGACGCGGTAGTCGAATCACCTCGACAGCAATGCCAGCCAGCGGCTGGCGGCGATGCCGCGCGCGTTAGACCTGCAGGGCAAGCGCGGCGCAAACGTCGCCATTGGTGGCGCTCGGGGCAGCTCCGCAGCTGGCTGGGCGATTCCAGCGCTCTCCATGAGACCGGGCGGCGTCGAACAGGTGATCCTTTAGCTTGCATCCAGATGAACATAACTGAAAACACTCTTTGGTCCGCAGGGATCTTGCCGGCCCCATGCCTCGGGCAAGGGTTGGGGGCGCGCAGCAGAGGCTCAGAAACGACCCCCGTGAGCTGACTGGCTCTAAGTGCCCTGGCGGGCGAATAAGCGCGCAGCGCGGTCGGGGGGCGTTTATTTTGTTTGGTCCATCCGTCGAACCCGTCTGCTCTGGCAGCAGGTCTCGCCCCAGTGGTGGATGAGGTTGCAGTCGACAAGGATGAAGAGCTCGGCTGGTGGCTCAGGGAGCTCGAGGTGGCGCCCAGCATTCATGTTCCCCCATGTGGGCGCGGTCTCGTAAACGCGGCCCTCGGGGGCACGGCGTCTGCCACGGATAGTTTTATAGAAATCGGTCATGAACTTGATCAGGGCGTTGGTGTCCGCAAAGATCGCGTGTGGCTTGCCGTGGATCTGGGTGGCGCCGCTTGCGCTGTCACTGTCCGTAGCAGGACCACTGCGCGCAGTGGGAGAGCAAATGTTCTGGACCGGCAGGTCCTCCTCCCGCTCTGGACCCCGCAGGAACCTGGCGGTGCGTGGGGGATCGAATCGGAAGTCAACGGCGCTGGAATTGTCCGCCGCGATAACTCACGAATGTGTGGCTGTACCCCCGCGCTTGGCCTGCGCGCGGTCTTTCCGATCGTGGCTGCGCGACGTTTTATGGTCGTAGATGAGGCGTCTCACCTGCGCACCGTGGCGGCGATGAATGTGTCGACTTGAATGTAAGCTTGGAACTCGTCACTGCCCCCAGCGCGTGAGAACTTGGCGAGGCTGGTTGGGCGGACGCGTGCTGCACCGAGGCATGGTTATTATTACCGTGTTCGGTCGCATATTGGTGGGGGGCCACCAGCTGTTGCCTGATGTCTTTACGTTGCCTGCCGCGACTGTCAAGGTACTAAGTGGCGCGCTTGGAAGTGCCGTGCTCAAGACTGACCAACAAGGCAGGTACCCTGCCCTGATAAGTGAGACTTTACCATGCCTGGTGGTCGGTGAATTTTTGTCAATGGACATCTGGCGGTATGCTCAGCATGGTAGCCGTGGGCGGCTCGGTTGGCGGAGCCGAATAACATGTGGACGTCATCCGGTTCACCACGGGCTATCATTCGAGGGCGGTGAGCGTGTTCGATGGAATCACCCAGGGCGTATTCTTCGTCATTGTTCATGGGTGTGTGAGTCAGAGATGCGGGATTACACCCTTGGTTGTCTCGCTGGCTCTCTGGTGACGTCCAGGTTGAAAAAAGAGAAGGAGACTCAAATGCTGTGTGGTGGGACAGTCGAGAAGCAGGACGAAGTTGGTGACGAACTGCCTGCCTTTTTCTGGCGTTGGAAAACACATAATCAACTCGGGTACTCATAATTCTTGGCGCTCTAGAGAGGGAGGAAGAGAAGTATGGAGGTTCGGTTGTCGAAACGTAGGCACCGAGATTCGAAGGGAGGCACGTCGAGTGTGGAGGGGGGAAGAGGAATTGGAGAATGTGCTGAGCGCAGTCCGAAGAGAAAGCCGAACGACTCTTATAGTCGGCGGCGGGCCCAAAGGGGGAAGGAAAAAGTGGGCGTTCTCGGAAGGTTCAGAAGATTTCTGGCCTCCTCCGAAAATGCATGCGGCTGTTTAGAGGGTGCGAAGGCTTCTGGGAAAGCCCGCCGCCTTCTGAGAAGGCCTGCCCCTTCTCACTTCCCCCAGGGCGCGCCGCCGAATGCGAGCATCCCTATGCAGTGCAAAGCAGCCCGCGGAGGATGAGGATGATCGAGAGCTCGGAACAGCAGGAGGAACGGCAAGACCAAACGTGCGCCTCCAAGCGCGTCCGCTGGGCGCAAGGCGGCTCGCTAGGTTCTTAGACCTTCAGAGCTGCATTCCTACCTGGGGGGACAGGCTCAAATTGGAACGCATCGGCCCCCCATCGCCCAAAGATCGCTGATATAGGTGCCCGATGGCCCACCCCGCCTAGGAATCCAGACTCGCTATCGAAGGCCCACCGTCGATAGACGATTTCAGGTGGATGTGATGCCTCCCCCCCTGAACCTTCTTAGGTCTCGGGAGTCCTCTCAAAGGCTTCTCGGGAGCCGTTCGGGCTTCTAAGAGGCCCCCCTGCCCTCTCGGGAGCCCCACCGCGTTCTCAGAAGCACAACCCCATCGCGCTTGCAGGGCACGTGCAGCATCTGGCAAGCGCCCCCGCCCCACACTAGAGGCCGCCTAGATGGTCAACATCGACAACGTCGAGGCCGCCTAGATGGTCCACACTAGAGGCCGTGGAGAAATTCATGCTCCACATCGAGCGGCATGGCCGATGCATCGGCGATGCGGCGCGATCCTCCGACCCCACCTGCTCGGACCCCATCTAGAACAAGACAAAACTGCATAATCATAAGCTTTTGGCGCTCCGCGCGGATTTCTTGGACCCGCGCTGGCCCCCCTCCCTGGCGAGCGGATCGCGCCAGGGGCGGGGCCAGAGGCGCCGCGGGGGGGGGGGGGGGCAGGCGCGGATCCAAGAAATCCGCGCGAAGCGCCAAAAGCTTTTGTTCATGGCGCTTCTTCTTCTTCTTCTTCTTTTTCTTCTTCTTCTTCTTCTTCTTCTTCCACCATCTGGGAGGCCTCGACACACAAAGAACGGCGGCGCTCACGCGAACGGCCCGTCGTCCTCCTGCGCCGACAAGGCGGCCGCCGGCGGCCACGGCGGAGCACGCGCCTGCCCCTTCGAGCAGCCCGCGCACTCCTCGCCGAAGACGCGCGCGACCTCCGGAGCCACCTCCGGCGTCGCCTCTGGGGAGTCCTCCGGCTTGGCGGCCGCCTTGCGTTGATCATCCCAAAAACCACCCCAACCCTTTGGGCAGGGACCTGAGTTCGGAGGGCAGAAAAAATCTGTTCTGCAGGTGCATCGAACCAAACCGCCCAGAACTGCTATCCCTGCTGCGAGGACGGGGACCTCCGTGAGGCCACGTCTTCATCGTGTGTAGGTTTAGGGGTTCTTTGGTTCGTGATGGTTTCGTGGGTCCCGGCAGGGCACGGTGCCGAACCAGGCGGCGGCGACCTCGAGATACCCTCGAAAGCGACCGCACGGTCCGGCACCCCACGGCCTTGGGGGCGGTGGGGGGCCCCAGTCGCCCGAGGCGTCCCCTCGGAGGACGGCCCGAGTCCCACGACTGGGGACAAAAACAGAAGGCACCGAGACAGCTCCTCCCCGGACCTCTCCCGGGATCTGACCAGGCTGTCGCAGCAAACCCAACAGTGGCGACGAGGGCCTCGCAGGAGGCCCAAAGAGGCGCACACGAGGGTAGGACAGCGGTACGCGTACCTTTCCTGGACCCCCGACGCCATGATTTGTTCATAACGTCGACCCTCAGAGGTCTCGACACATTCCCCTGGACCGGCTGTCCATCCTGAGTCGTTGTTTGACACAGGGTCCAGCGAGGGCCTGCAGAGGCCGACAATTAGGGATAACCTTACGTCATGATTTGTATCATGGCCTGAAGGGGGTCTCGACTTTCTCCGCGGAGTCGCCCCGACTCCTCGCTGCGGTCACCGAATCGCACCCGACATGGGTACGGAAAGAATGGGTACAATGTCCAACAGCAGTTCTTGCTCATTGTGAGCAGGACTCGCGGTCGGTGCCGCCGCGGCCTGTGCACACTCGAGACAGAGGGCCGCCTGCCCGACGGCGGCCGCTGCGGGCCTGGGGCAAAACAATTCTGCTGCTGGGCACTGCTCCCCATCCTTCCCGTGCCCATTTCTCGGGCGCCCAGGAAGGCTTCGTGGGCCCCCCGAGCCTCGGGCCTCGGCGCGCCGGGCCTCCCGGGGCCGGACGCCGCCGGCGCGGGCGCCGGCCCGGCCTCGGCGTGGTCTCGCCGCGCCGCGTGGATGGCGGTGCTGATGCGGTCCAGCTCGCGCAGGGAGGCGCCGTAGGCGCTCTTCGCGGCCCTGGCGCGGTCGCCGAGGGCGTTGATGCCCGAGCCCCTGCAAGCGGGGCGCGAGAGAACGGGCCGGCAGCCAGGGGTGCGTGTGCCACGGTGCCTGGCAAAAGATTGGTTCGCCGCGCACAGGTGCGAGGGACCGCCCCCCCTGGCCCAGAGTTATGACGATGTGTCGACGCGTTTGCCGTCCCGATGTATCACGCGCCAGTGCGAGGTCAATGCCCTGTCGCCCCGTTCTCGCTTGGAGAAGGCCTGTAGCTAACAGCCCGTTTACTAACGCCCCGGTTGCAGGGGCTTGGAATGCGGTTCTGCTCCGAGGCTAGCTTCAGCTGCTGCTGGTGCAGCTGCCGGAAGCAGGGCAGCGTGCGCTTGATCGTGGTGTCGCCGATGTGGGCGCGCCACGCCTCCAAGTCCTCCTCGGGAGAACCACAGGCTGCCGCTACTGTTTAAGTCGGGCGTCCCCCCGCAGGGGGATTTTCGGCGAAAAATAGAAAATACTCAAACAATACTCCAAAATGGTCAGACAATGATTAAAAAATAATCCCCAGACTAATTTTTGACTATTTTTGAATTTTCCTCCTGTAGAGAGACAAGCCCGACTTAACGCTACCGTCACTCCGCAGACCTCTCCCGGAGGCGCGTGCTCACCAGAATGCCGAGACGAAGCCAGCCGTGGCGCCGAGTGCCTCCCAGGAGGCCCCGAGAAGACGAGAACGAGGCGAGAGCATCGGTATTGGCGCCTATTCCTCCTCTGTCCTGGTTCACTCCCAGGGTGCGTTTTGGCCAGAATTTCAAGGCGAATCAAGCCGTGGCGACGAGGACGTCCCAGAAGGCCGAAAAAGGCGAAGACGAGGCAACGGAATTAGCGGTATCCCATCAGGGATCAGGCATCAGGTAGCGGTAGCGGTGCTCGCTCGTCTCCTCTGGCATTGGCCGGGCTGGGTTTTACTTGAACCTGATTTCGTGATGCGTGCGTGCTCGGGGACACCTCCCCCAGCCCGTTCAACTGACCCCAAGTGCCGTCATTCGAAAGTCCTACCAGCCATTTATGGCGTAGGTGGTTTGGGGCCTTTCCTCTTCCAACCTCCTTCATCCCCCTCGGCGAGGGGTGCACCCCTTCCCCTACCCCCCACCCTGGACCTGGACGGCACCACCCTCGGGAAGTTGGACCATTTCTTTGGAGAGGGCTCAAAACAGGGACCCCCCCCTCTTCTTTGATCGATCTCCTCCATTATGGCCCCAAGATGACCCCCAAGGCTCCGAAGAGTGCCCGAAGAGGGCCCAAGAGGCCCCACAGAGGTCCACAAGAAGCTCCCGAGAGAACCCAAAGAGGCTCCCCCGAAGCACCAAACAGGCCCCCGGGACCGCCAAGAGGCCTCCGAAACACGCACCAAGATGACTCCAATAGCCTCCCAGGAACCGTCCGGAGAGACTCCGAGAGGCATCCAAGAGGCCTCTGGCCATTTTGCTCGCCCTCCTCCTCCGTCCTCCCTCCTCCTGTCTCCCTTTTTGCGCCCACCTCCTCCCTCCTCCTGTCCCGAAGCGGGTCGACGATCGAAGAGACGGGCAAACTTCTCCCTTTTCTCCTCCCCCTGCTCCTCCACCTCCTCCTCCTCCCTGCTCCCCCTCTCCCCCTCCTCCCCCTCCTCCTCCCTGCTCCCCCTGCTTCTCCCCCTCCCCCTCTCCCTCTGCCCCTCCCCCTGCTCTCCTTCTCCCTACTCCCTCTTCCCCCTGTTCTCCGAACGCAGCCGCTTCCCCCTCCCCCTCCTCCTCTTCCTCCGATTCCTCTCCCATCCTCCCCCTCCTGGGTAGTATGACGGCGCTCCCAGCCATTTGCTTCACTGCATGCTCCTCCGCAACTTTGATCAGGGCAACTCGCCCGAGCATCGTTTCAGGAAAGTCTACTAGAGTTACGTGAAGCGCCGAGAATGCAAAGCTACGGCAGACCTGCTCCACAAATGCTCGCATGTGATTCGGAGCCCTATCACAAACCGGCACCCCTCACCTGGGACCCTGGCTATGCACGACCCCCTGGCTCCTGGCTCTTCTGGTACTCCCTCAACACCTTCGCGTACTCGCCCTCGAGCCGGTCGCGCTCCCGTTGGCAGCGGGTGACCTCCACCGTCGCGCGGGAGAGGCCCTCCTGCATGTCCCCGTCGAGCGGCACGTTGTGCGCGCCCGGCTCCATGCTCCGCTCCTGAGGGGGAACGCCGAGGGGGCGGGGGCGGCTCGCGGGGCGAAACCTCGCCCTGGAGTCTCAGAGGAGGGGGAGGTGAGACAGCCGTTGGCGGCCGTCGGGGGGCCCCCTCATCGCCACGGCTGGGCGCAGCCCAGAAAACTGGTGCACTCAGACCTGGTGAGGGCTCTAGGGTCTGGCGCTGAGCTGCGTTGTCTCAACTCGCCCAGCTCCGAGAATGGACGATACATCGCCGATCGAGACAGCGTTTTGAGTTTTCAGTTTGCTTTGAGGTGCTTTGAAACGAAAGCGGTCCGACCGACGACAGAAGACAGCGCTTTGGCGCAAAACCGAAGTCGCGATTGGCCGATGTGACGAAAATGAAAAAACGAAGAGAACATGAACACGATCGACGAGACTGCCAATACAATGTTTTGGTCGACCCCTGGTCAGGGGGGGGGCAGCTCGGGGGGGGGAGGGGGGCGGCGGGGGGGGGGGCGATAGCGAACCCGCATGCTGCGGTGCGGGGTGGGCTATCGGCAATCGGGCCCCTGTCGGCGACGAAAGAGCGACTGGAGGGCCGACGCGTCCACGCCGGAGCCTACCCGGATATCCAACGTCGTGGTCTGTGTCACGACTCCCACCTCCACAGGTCTGGGCCCCTTCCCCGGGACCGGCCCTTCATTTCGAGTGGCTTCGTTGATGGTCCCGGGGCCCAGTGGAGGCCCCCGGAAGTCGAAGATGGCCCAAAAACGTCCGTCGTCATGTTTTCGCAACGAGAAGAGGTGGGGTATCGCCCCTATCTCGGCGGCGAGCGGGGGGGGGGAATGAGCAGGGGAAGGCCTTCACAGAAGGCGGCGGGACTTCTCATAAACCCTCGCGACTTCTGCGCAGTTGTCTGTGTCTTCGGGGCAGGCTCACAAAACTTCTTAGAGCCTTCTGAGAAGGCCCGCCCCTTCTCACGTGCCCCCTCGCTCGCCGCCAAACTGAACATGGTCAGAACAAAGACTTCCGTCGTGATGTTTCGCAACGAGAAGAAGTGGGGATGTCCCCCCTGTTGTTGCCCCTGGTCTCCAGCTCGTTCAGGCGCTCCTTCGCGCGCGCGTGCAGGGAGGAGGCGGTGGAGAACTCCCGCACGGCTCCCTGCACCCTCTCGGGCCACCACGCACGTGTACCCTACCCTTGCAGGTCAGATTTCTGAAACACCAGCTGGGGGTTCAGCATTCGAAAAGTTAGGAGGCAACTGCTGGGAGGTCTTCGTCGGACTGACTCAAAAAGATTAAGCACCATTGGGGCGCTACTGCGCCGGATTGGGCCGCGGGATAAGCGGGATGATTCCGGATGAAGCGGGACTAAGCGGGATTCAGCCGGATTTCGAACCAGGGCAAAGTCAGCATTTGACCTCCCAGGAGTGGCATCCGACGAAATGCGCTGCTCATCAAAACTGTCTTCGAGAGGGGATGGGGGAGGACGCGAAGGGGACGCGGACAGCCGAAGGTCAGTGTGCCATCAGGCTGCTCTGGGTGTTGCGCCGCCCGGTCCAGGAGTCGAAAGACATCTGCTGACGGGTGGACCCCAGCCGGGGGGTCGAGCACCCCAGCACCGGCTGGACCCGCAGAGGTCCCGCGGGGGTGTACGACAGCGTCGATTGGACCCGAAAGGGTCCACTGGGGGGGCCCGATACCCCAGCGTCAAATCGGACCCGCATGAGAGGGCTCGCAAATGGTCGCAGGCCTCTGCGACGTCGCCGCGAACACCTGCGCGGCGTCGAAGTAGGGCTTGACGCGGTCGATGGCGCTGCCGAACTGCGCGTGCAGGGACTCGTACATCTGGCTCCATTCGGCCAGCAGGTCCTGTTGGGCGCTGCCGAGTGAGGGGGCGAGAAATGGGGGTCGAAAACGTGCACCGTTCGCGCGGCCCCCTTCAGGGCACAACCAAAGGTGCATCTTCCTTCCCCCCTCCCCCCCATTTGATCGTCCCCCCCCCCTTCACGTAACGCTCGATTCCTGGTACCGCTGCTGCGCCTCTCCGGCTCGAGCCTCGAACATGTTCACCTCCGCGGAGGTGCGGTTCATCGACTCCAGCAGAAGGGGGACCTCTTGAGACAGCTGCTCCTTGGCGGCGCGCACAGTGGCGGGGGGTCCTTCTGAGAAGGCGAGGGGGTTTCTAAGAAGGCCGGTGGCCTCCGCGAAGTCCTCTCCCAGCGTCTGCGAAGCCTTTCGGGAACACCAGGGCGCTTCTGGGAAGGGCACTGCTTTCCAACATGCCCCCCCGAGGTCAGTGCGGATCCCTTGGATCCGCGCTGACCCCCCTCCCTTGGCGCGCGGAACGTGCCAAGGGCGGCGCGGGAGGCGCCGCCGAGGGGTCCGCAGCGCCCATCCGAGAAAGTCCGTGGGGAGCCCCCACGCTTTTGTGTCTATGCAGCAGTTCTTCCTGATCGTACCCTCATCGATCGATGCATCGACCGCATCGAGCCACATCGCTCCACGTCGAGCCGCATCGCCGATGCATCGGCGCTGTGCGGCGCGATCCTCCGACACCGTCTGAGCGACGATCAGACGAGGAGGTCTTGTCTTGCGCGAGACGTCGTAGCGACCTTGCACGGCGGCTTACGCAGGCCGCCAGCGCGGCACGCCACGTTGGAGGCGTGGGCGCTGACGCGCGACCTTGCGCGGGCAGCTCACGCGCCCAGCGTCGGTCAAGGCGAACCCGTTGCATCCGGGACGCCCCAGATTCCAGGAAGCCCCCCCCCCCCCGACCCCTCAAGAGGCCGAACCCCCTCAGAGGGCCGCGCCCCCTCGAAAGGCCACCCTCCCCTCCCACGACCACCCCCCGCGCCCCCCCCCCTTATCGGCGATCCATGGGCGATTGGGCGATTGGTGCCACCCCCCAATGTTGCCCCCGTCCGCCCCCTCAGAAAGCCGCGCCCTCCCTCCCCCGTGCCTCCACCCCCCTCTCGGAGATCGAATGGCCCAGGTCTACCCAGACCCAGGCCAGTCGGGCTTCGCAGGATCTGGCAAGATCCTGCAGGATGCTGCGCCCAAACCTGGGTCAGTGCGACCCCGGCCCTGAAGGATCCTGCAAGCTCCGACGTTCTGACTGACCCCCGTTTGCATTGACACCCGTCGCCTATAAGCCCCGAAACCTCCACCCCGAAGATCCGACGTCTTCGCAAAAAAAAACATCGCGAACAATCACGACCAGAGCCCTGGGCCCCCTCTGTCTGCGCCGCTTTTCGATATATTTAAAAAAAGCATCATCGCGAAAAGTCACGACTGGAGACCCAGACCCCCTCTTTCTGTGCCGTTTGTCGAGCTGGATCGATATGTGAGGGTCCCAGGGCCGAAATCACTCAAAAACGCCTGGTGCGTGGTTTTCTGGTGTTTTTGTTGAAGAGGGGGGGGGAGGCGTTTTTTGCTTTCGTTTTTTTTATTCTTTTTGGGGGGTGGGGCGCGCTGCCGGGCTCCTCCAGGGCCGCCAGGGCGCCGGGGGCCTCGCCCGAGACTGCGCCCTCCGCCGGGACATCCTCGCGGCCGCTCGTCTCCGGGTCGCCCATCGGGCGACGCCCTCTGGGGGGGCCAAGGATGCGCCGGAGGGGAAGGATGCAAAAGTCACCTTGGGAAGGCTGCCCGTTCTGACTATGCTTAGGTCGGGCCTGTCCCCCTACAGGGGGGATTTTGGACGAGAAATAACAAGTACTAAATAAATATTGAAAAGATGCCCAAAACAAATCCAACCATAGTCCCTATGTTTTTTGACTATTTGTGGATATTCCCCCTGTAGAGGGGCAGGCCCGACTTAATACTATGCGGGTGGGCTGTCTGGGCGGGGGGCGGGGCCCGCCGGCCGCACCCTCGAGGCCGAGGCGGCTGCCGGAGGATAGTCGGGGAGACGCAGAGTTGGCGGCGCGCAGGGGGGGTACAGTCGGCCGTGCTTGGGCAGGACACGCGAGAGGACACGAGCCCCGTCCGAGGGCCACATCGCCATAGGGGTGTAAGAATGCACGTGTCGCGAGGCACAGGGCACAAGGGCACCCTTGAGCTGGCAGGGTCGACCTACTAATCCGGGCCGACTGTAGGGGCAGGGGGGGGGCCTCTTAGAAGGAGGCTGCTTCTTAGAGGGCGCGGGCCTTGCATCTACAGACAAGGCCCGCGCCTTCCAAGAAGCAGGAGTGCGTCTAAGAAACCTCCCCCCCTCCCCCTACCCCCCTCTGCGCGTGGCAGAGTAAGACCCGGGTGCGGGGGACTCGGGTTGGCATAAAAAATGACGAAGCCCAGTCTGAAACTGGACGCGACCTCCCCCTGCAAACATCCCACGAGAACTGGACCGTCAAAATCCAGGTCGCGCTCGTCAAAAAACGTCGGCGAACCCGAGTTCCAGCTTACTCGAGTCTTACGTTAAGAGGAGGGGGGAGAGGGACCGGCAGCGCCCTAGTAGGTAGCCAACAGAGGACGTACGCGCCCAACCGAGTGCCTGAACACGGCCCCCCAAGCCAAGAGGCCGGCCGCGTGACACGCACGCTCGCGCAATGCGCACTTCCGAAACCAGCGTGGATTCGTGTACGGGTACGTTCCTCCTTCGCTCCTGACCTTCAGCGCCAATTGGGGGCCACTCCTCGCTTTGCGTTTTCTCATCGCCCGCCTTCTCTCGGCGGCGAGCGAGGGGGGCAAGTGAGAAGGGGCGGGCCTTCTCAGAAGGCTCGGACGTCCTCCAGCCTCCTGAAAAGTTTTCCAAGCCTTCCCCGAAGACACAGAAAACTTATCAGAAGGCGCGAGGACCTCGGAGAGGTCACGACGCCTTCTGAGAGGGCCTTCTCCTTCTCATTCACCCTCCCCCGCGTGAGGACGCCAGGTCCCTGTTGCGTGATACACCCGTGTATGGAGGAGGAGGAGGAGGAGGAGGAGGAGGAGGAGGAGGAGGAGGAGAGGATGAGGAGGAGGAGGAGGGGGGAGGAGGAGGAGGAGGAGGGAGGAGGAGGAGGAGGAGGAGGAGGAGGAGGAGGAGGAGGAGGAGAGGAGGAGGAGGAGGAGGAGGAGGAGGAGGAGGAAGAGGAGGAGGGAGGAGGAGGAGGAGGAGGAGGAGGAGGAGGAGGATGAGGAGGAGGAGGAGAGGAAGGAGGAGGAGGGGGGAGGAGGAGGAGGGGGAGGGGAGGAGGAGGAGGAGGAAGAGAGGAGGAGGAGGAGGAGGAGGAGGAGGAGGAGGGAGGAGGAGGAGGAGGAGGAGGAGGAGGAGGAGGAGGAGGAGGAGGAGGAGGAGGAGGAGGAGGAGTGAGGAGGAGGAGGAGGAGGAGACTCCAGGTGCTGCGTCCTCTAGGTGCTTCTCTCAGGCCACCTCGCCTGCGCGCGGCGACGGGGGCGGAGCCCCCCCCCGCGGGCCGCACCCTGGGGCCCGAGGCGGCCTGACGTGGGGGGGCGGGGGGGGGGGGGAGGTGGACACGGGAGGGACCGGCCACGCTCTTCCTCCTTCCGCACATCGGTCGGACAAGAGCAGTTTAGCAGCATGGAGAGAGGCCTCCTGGGTGGGGTCCGAGAAGGTGGGGTCGGAGGATCTCGCCCCATCGCCGATGCATCGCCGATGCATCGGCGATGCATCGGCGATGCATCGGCCATGCACTGGCGACGTCGGCGATACATCCGCGACGTCGACGTGAAGCAAATCGGGCTCCGCATCAAGCCGCATCGCCGATGCATCGCCGATGCATCGGCGATGCATCGGCGATGCGGCGCGTTCCTCCGACCCCACCTACTCCGACCCCATCCAGGAGGCCTAGAACGGAGGAAGGCGTTGAAGTTGGAGTAGGAGGAGGGAGGAGGGAGGAGGAGGAGGAGGAGGAGGAGGAGGAGGAGGAGGAGGAGGAGGAGGAGGAGGAGGAGGAGGAGGAGGAGGAGGTGGAGGAGGAGGGCGAGGAGACCGCCGCCTGCGCGAACACAGGAATGAACGAGCTGTCATCGCCGCAGAGGGTGGCCCACAGATGGACGGCAGGCGTATGCTCGGGCACGGTGGCCCTCCGGAGAGGTCTCGGAGAGAACGCAGCGCAAGTGCACCCTCAGGGACCGGCCACGCCCTGGCGGGCCAGATCTCTGTCGGCGTTCTCGTCGCCTGTCTTCTCGCTCTGCTGCGTGCTCACGGTGTTTCTCTTTTTATGCATGCCGAATTTGCTTGTTTTTTAATGCATGCCGCATGAGGCCTGGAGGCAGCAGCTCTGAGTTCTGCGTGGACAAAAGAATGAGCTGGCGCGGGCAGCGCCGCGGAAGCAGAGGAGCAAGAAAATACATAGGGAGAGTGAGAGAGAGAGAGAGATCCGAGGCAGCTACCTACAAGACCACCCTAACCCAACCCGAAGATTCGAATTTCGGGCTGGGGGGGGGGGGTAAGGACTTAGTATCTGTTTCTTCAATGCTCCCCGACCCCCCACAACACTGGGAATGGTGGGCAAATTCGAGACGGGACAGCTCGTGTGGCCTAATGGTGGGCAAATTGGGGCATTCGGGTTGGGTTGGGGTGGCTTGGTGGGTGGTGAATTGCAGATCGGTCGGAAGAGGCGGGTGGAAACATGTAGCAGGAAGGAATGAAAAGTAGGTTCGGTTTCCGCCGGCCGCCGAACTCCTCCTCCTCCTCCTCCTCCTCCTCCTCCTCCTCCTCCTCCTCCTCCTCCTCCTCCTCCTCCTCCCCCTCCTTCCCCTCCTCCCCCTCCTCCCCCTCCTCCCCCTCCTCCTCCTCCTCCTCCTCCTTTTCTCCTCCTCCTCGAGTGAGAAATGAGAACCAGAGGATGGATCCTGTGAGAAGAGCGGGGAGAGGCGAAGAACAGGGAGGAAGGCCACGCCGCGAACCCAGGCTGACCGCGGAGCAGTGGGGGGCACGGCGACCACAACCCCTGGCTCTGTGGGACTTCCTGCTGGACAGGAACGAGTTGGGGCCCCGCTTGGGGATATACGACGGGGGCGTCCATTCTCGACATGGGTGCGTCCTAGTAGCCCTCGTCCCGCTTCCTTTCAAACTTGTTTTTATTGAGAGGGAGCTCAGGGAGTGGAAAAAAGGAATCTCCTGCGAGGCAACTCTCAAATCTGAGATCATCGCATGGCGGGGAGGGGGGGCCAACTCCGCGTGGCGGGTTCCGGAAACCCTGCACCCAAACACTTGACACTGCTTAGATCGGGGATCCGCTGACCTGGGCCAATCCAGACCCGGGTCACTCAGGCTGAGCAAGATCCTGCAAGATCCTACACCCAAACCCGGGTCCGTGCGCCCCTGGCTCTGCAGGATCCTGCAAGCTCCGGCGCCTTGACTGATCCCCGTTTGCACTGACCCCCGTCTCTTGAACCCCGAGCCAACTCCGCGTGGCGGGTTCCGGAAACCCTGAACCCAAAAAACTGGCATCGCTTGGAAGGCAAATCTTTCACCGTCGCCAGCCTTCCGCCGGAGGAGCAGCCAACGTTTTACTTGCGCCAGCTTCCGCCTGCCTCCCGCCGAGGAAGAGCTGCCAATTTTCGTCCCTCAAGGCAAGGCACCCTCTTCCAAGAAACAAAGCCTTGCCATCGCTCGGACGTCCACTCCCAGCGCCCATTCCAGTTTCGTGCTGTTACTTTTCGGCGAGACGATCCAATGTGCAGCAAAATGGTCCTCGCAGACAAAGATACACGTCCAAGCGATGCCGACGAGGAGCCTGCGCTCCTCCAAGCGGCACCCGATACAGCGAGTCTGCAGCCCCATCAACGAACTTACAAGACGTCCCAGACGGCACGCGCGGACGCGCGACCTCAGATCCACGAGACAGAGGCGGCAGTAAGCGACAAGCTTCGTAGCGATGGGACGCCACGACACAGCAATTCAAAACCAACTACAATATGTTACGCAAGCTGCTCGTTCAGTAAACGCCGCGTGTGGCTTAGTAAACCAAGTCTAGGCTCACTTTTGCCATACATCGATCGTGCGGGGGGGGCGCATTTATTCAAAAGCGCTCGCCGTTTTACTGAATCCAGTAACTGACTTCCAGGCGATCGGAGTTTGCAAACCAGAGCCCCGAATGGGTGAAACAACCGCCCAGGTTCACGAACATGGAAACGCGTTCTGCCACTGCGGCGTTCCTTGCTGCGACACTTGGCGCTGGGATGAGGGCCCTTGAAAGACAAGCTGCTTCGCGATGCGTGCCTGCGTGGCCAATCAGCGCTGCGCGCGGATACCAGCGCTCGCCCTGCGAGCTCGGGAGAGGTCCATGGGTCGCCGCCTTGTGAGTCAAGGCAGGGGCGTCCATCGTGGCGCCCAAACCCGGGTCGGCCAGAGGGGATCATGAACATCGTTTGACCGATCCCTGTCCCACCCGCGTGGCCTGGGCCCCACTGGCCGGCTCACCCCCCCTCGACGGGGATGTAGGCCGCTCCCCGCGGACCTCGAGGGGCAGATCCCCAACTGGGGTGCTGAGATAGTCGGGCTCGGGATGGAGACAGGAGAGCCCAGAATCGAATCGATAAGTCGGATCGGCGATCGACATGAATCGGATCGGCGGCAATCGGCAGCCGGGTCGGGAAAAATCAAATCGGCGGAAATCGGCAAGCAAATAGGCCTCCGTCGAGAAGCCCGAACCCAAACCGGAATCCAAGCCGGATCGCGTCGGAGTCGGAAGCCATGGAAATCGAAGCGAGCCGAGCCGGAGGCATCGAAAGGAGCCCCGTGGGGATGGGGACGGATTGTCGGCCGAAGGATGCTCCGAGCCAGCGGGGAGCCGAGGGGACTCGCTGGGCCGCGCTGGTGCCCCACCCCCGCCGCGTGCGCTCCCGGCGGCTGTCGGGCCCCGGCCTCGGCCCACGAGGTGGCGGTCCGGGAGGCTCCCGGCATCCCCACGGCGCCCTCGGCGAGGCACAGCTGGTGCAGACC